CAATATTGTACATTCATGATAAAAATTTAATAAAGTGACTTATAAATAAGACCAAAAAACCCTTCTCTCTCAGCCCTATAAATAGGACCAGAGGAGTAGTTGTTTGGCCCCTTTCTTCCTAGTTATTTATTTGAGAAGTTTTTTTTCATTGCGATGCTTTTTGAAAACTCATCCTCCTTTGTATAATCATTTTCCACATTGCATTTTGTTGACCTGTTTTTTCTCCCTATTGTCCATACAAGATTCAGCTAGGTGTTAAATGATGAATCCACATTACTACATTAATGCCATCTATGACATTTCAACAAATTTTAACATTATTACATCTTCAGAGACTAATGTTTTAAGACATACTAAAACTACAGGTGGGTGATTTGAAAGATCAAAACTAAGTTTCAAAGAACAAAAGTTATATTAACCCAAAAGGGAATAATAGAAATGCAGGTCAAGTGGTTAAATTACCTGCTGAATCATGGGCTGAGCGGCTAACAAAGGCAAACGAAACAAACACATAAAACCAAAATCCTGCAGGGTGGTGTGCTCTTCACCATGTATTCAAGTTTTGATGAAAGATGAATAGAGAAATGAAGTGCCTTAAGAAGCAGGAAAGGAGTAGTGGGCATAAATATTAGTATCCTACACAACGATAGCTTTTCATGGCCGGTCTAAATATAAATAGGACAAAGTAAAGTTAATTATTTGGTTCTTACAAATAATATTAATCTTTCATCTGGCTTTTTGTTTTGTTTTTTGTTTTTAATTGTCCCTTCCATTGTGGAAAAGTTATTCGTCTTATTATTTCTTTACTTATACATAGGTATCTTTAATTTTTATTTAATATAATTCTGTTTAAAATACAGTTGGACATTAAATATAAATACATTTTTCAATAGGAGTTCAAATTTTGATTCTTTAATTGCAAGGAACTTACACTTTCCCTAGTTCCAACTCTATTGGCCGTTGAAATGTTACCCTAAACAACAAATAAGAACATTTATTGTGAAAAACCATAAACATTATAATTAAACAAAGAAAAGTTTTTGGCAAGAAAAAACTAAGTGCTTCTAGTTATATGTGTGTGTGTGTGTGTAAGCAAATAGAAGTTCCACGTCTAAAACTATCAAATCACACGAAGCACTACCTTCAGTCCTTAATATAAGAGCTAGTTGGTGGTCCTAAATATAATACTCTAATCCATTTTGTCTTTTAAATTTATAATGCATTGTCAAAAATATCCCCATTGATTGTAAAGTATTTTTACCCAAATATAGTTCTAATATACATGATTGAATAATAGTAATCTAAGGAAATCAACACACATTTGTTATAAAACTTACTTAACTAATTTTCTTAATCTCCTCAAATTAGTTATCTAACTCTTATATTAAGGATTGGAGGTAATATATAGATTTCTGTTATTTTTGTGTTACAGATTTGTGTAATTGCGTTATAGATATGTCCAAAGTCCAAACACTAACCAGTAAAGAAGCCGGGGAGCCAAACTGAACGAAAAAATTGTCCTTTTTTTGTTGGGAAAATATCTAGTTTGGTCATTGGATGAGATTTTGGAATTTTTTGGTAATTGAAATAACTGAGCACTTTTTTTTTTGGGGAGAAGTATGACATTCAATTAATCAGATATCTACTTTTAATTTGTTATATAATTATGTTTTAGTCAATCACTAAAATTCCCTTTCCTTTTTTCAAAAAATAACAATAATTCATCCATCTACCCCCATGACTTACTGTGTGTTTGGATCCACGATTGGATCTAAAATAGGTGACTTTTAGAATGTTAAGCATGTTTGGACCAAGATGATTGTGTTTGGCAAAGCTTTTTGGCTCATGTGACTTAAGGGCCAAAAGTTGGTTTGAATCTGGCTTTTTTAGAAGCTCCTTTTTCCTACTTATTGCTTTAGCTAATCATGCTTATAGGCAATGATTGGTGGCTCAGAATAATATTCTCTCTCCTCTTCCTCATTTTGTCACACACTTCACGCTTCTCCTATTTCTTAGGCTTCACGTATCTCCTCTCTCCGAGCTCGTCTCCTCGCCTCCGTAAATCAGTCGGTAGTCGTAGTCGCCGTCGCCAAATCATGCTCACCATTTGGAAGTGGAGGTCGATCTATGCTCGCCGGTCTTCCACCCTTCTAGCTTCATCAAATCTGTTCTCAGCATGTGGAAGTTGTGGTCGTCGTCTCCAACAAGTCGTCGGCGTCACCAGTTCGTGCTTGCCGTTGTGTGTGGGTAGGTTGGCCTGAAATCATCTTCCCTTCTCAGATCTCCTCCTCCCAGGTCGCACTGGTCCCGGATTTGGTGCGGCTGAGCTCTTTCGCGGGACCTGTGACTATGTTCACCAGATTTTTTTATGGTTTATTTTTTAATATTTTGAACATTTGAAGCTATTCTGATGGAGAAACGTATGAATAGGCGCGTGGAGAAACAATTTGAATAACACGTAACAGTTCTCAATTGATGTTATCACTTTGATAATCCGTCGCATATCAGTCGAAGTTGTTTGCTAATGATTTTTGGTGGAGCACTGGCCTTTCTGATGGATTGATTTTGCCTTTTATCGTGCTTATATGCTTCATTTATTTAATATATATTTGAACTGTCATTAATAACCTTATATGCGTAGTTAAGAGTTCCAAACAAAAATGTATATGGTTTGTACAATAATGACCATTCATAACTTTATATGGAGATATTCAAGGTTGGACAACTATTTTCTAAAAGCTGAAAATAATATTATAATTGGAGAAGATGAGCTGGTCAAGCATCATCTTCAAATATAATATCACAATTTTCATCACATATGAATCGAGTCCATGACACAATCAAAGATCAAATTATCCATAGCTTATCAATTAATTAATTATATAATATTATTTTGTTTAACCTTGTCACAATACAATAAATTTTAATTTGGTCATATTTTATTTTATCCATTGAAATTATATTTCACTCTATATTCACAATTTTTTGTGATATTTCTAATATTTTAAAATATATTTAAGTAATTAAATTTCACTTCTTCATATTAAAGTAATTTAAATTTATCATATTATGTAAATTCATTTTTTTTATCATTTTCCATTATTTAATAAAACTCATATTCATTTTGGTAATTTGACAAATTAAATTTACTAAATTTATTGTATTATGTAAATTCATTTTTTAATCATTTTTTGTTATTTAATAAAACTCATACCCATTTTGGTAATTTTACAAACTAAACTTACTTTTATTCAATCATAATCTAAACAACCTTTTATCTAATCTAACTTTTACAAACTAACTTTTGTAAAACCCAATCTATATACAATTCACATTACTCAATCTAACTTTTCTAAAAATCAAATTAAAAATAAGTTACTTTTCCTATCTCTAATCCAAACGGACCCTTACTAGAGCTAGTGTAGGCAGCCGCTAAAGCTTTGACACCAGTGATCATTTAATTTCTTCAAGGTCAGCAAGATGAAATTTGAACCCATAACTTATTTTGTCAAAAATATGCTAATTAAGAACATTTGGTAATTGAGGAACAAAATAATTGCAATTTGGGCCATTGAAGCTGTAGAAATAACTAATTACACATAAATTAATCAATAACGTAATACGAATATCAATCAACCATCAATCATCAATATGTTAGTTAAGAATGAAATAGAAAATTTTTATATACAAGTAAATGATTGGCGAATGTGGATGTTTTTATTCCTTAAAGCTAGTTACCCCTCCACCAAATTTCAAGTGTGGGTTAATGTTCTAAGGGAAAATTAGGAATAAATCCTCATTAAAAAAATTAATGAGCAAATGGTCCTTAGGATAAAAAAGATAAGTTGCAAACAATAGCAGTTGGGGTGCACGAAGAGAGAATAATTTGCCCAAAAGATTATTTAGACATAAAGAACTGATTTGCACAGGGAAGATGGATTGCGAAGGGAAGTTCAATAACACAAAGAAAAGAAATCATACAAAGGAAGATGGTCGCATATGAGAGAATATTGATCGTATATCAGTGAAGCACAAACTTCTTAGAAACCATTTACTAATTAATTTATCAATGAGAAATTTATCCCCGATTTTTCTTTTTTTAACATAAATATTAAGAAGCACAGTAAATAACTTGATTATATCAGTGGTGCGACTTTATATAATAGACGGCCCTTGTGTGAATTAATTAAAAAAAGTTAAAAAAAAACAGCAACAATGAAATATATTACCCTTGCAACGTACTCAATGTATGTTCTTAAATGCTTTCCTAATCTTGCCCGATAAATATCAAACGGGATTATTGAGGAGTTCATTCTTCTCCCCCCCCCCCTCCTCCTTCTTCTTCTTCTTCTTCTTCTTTATTTATTTATTTATTTTGCACGTTAGCGATCCTTGGTAGACCTTTCCGCTTCAATTAGCTTATCGCCATTTCTTTCTTCTTTTTTTTCCCCTTCCAAGTATTCTTTTATGGAAAGTAATACTATTCAAGGGAAGATCTTTGATCAACCTCCACCTATTAGGCAAGAGGGGAAGGTTGATGAAGGATAAATGTCTTGGCTATCTTTGTTAACTGCTTTGTCTTGTCTGTATTCAGTTTCTATTAAAAAAAAAAGACAATTTAAGGGTGTGTCTGGCTCAAAAGAGGAGATAGGAGGGTAAAACAAAACGAGAAGAAAAATAAAAGCAAAGACAACAATGAACTTATCGGGAATGCTCTACTTTATTTTTATCTGATATCAAACTGAATATAGCAGCGGCCTTTATAACAGTAAGCCATGAACGTTATTTCTATGATCTCTCTATAGTCCCGGAGATATCACTAGCACTCCCCTATTATTTAAAACAAGATAAATCAGCAAAATAATAGGAAACAGATTTATTTTGACTGAGTAAAAATAAGCAGAATAAACGAAATGAGGAAACAGCAATATTCCAGAGATCTTATATCAACAACACGTTGGAATGATGGCCACGTGCTTCTCATGTACTGGAAGTTTGTACTAACTTTCAACACTCCCCCTTCGTGCAAGCTTCCTGTCAGTGATTCCAAGAGCTTTTCGAAGGCTTTGAAACTTGGGTTTCACCAGAGCCTTGGTGAAAATATAAGCTGCCTGTGCACCTGTTCGAACACCAGTTAACTCTATTTCTTCATTCAGGACCTTCTCACGTATGAAGTGGTGGCGAACTTCTATGTGCTTGGTTCTTGCATGAAAAACCAAATTTAATGCCAGTTTAATAGCACTCTAATTGTCACATTTAATTTCCACAACATAATCATCTTCATGAAGTATATCATTCAATAGTCTCTTTAGCCAAATGCATTCTTGAGTAGCCATTGTTGCTGCTGCATACTCTGCCTCAGTGCTCGGTAAGGCTACGATGTCTTGTTTCTTGTTGCACCATGAAACTACAGCTGACCCAACAGTAAAGCAATGACCAGAGGTTGAATGCCGATCATTTTTGTCACCAGCCCAGTCCGCATCGGTGAACCCACTCAATGTAAACTTTACCTGCTTCTTGTACAGTAGGCCATAACTGAGAGTCCCTTTGGTGTATCGTAGGATCCATTTTGCGGCTTCTAGGTGAGGGGCTCTTGGGTTCTGTATAAACTGAGACACAATGCCAACTGAATATGATATTTCTGGTCTTGTGATAGTCAAATAGATTAAGCTGCCAACTAGTTGTCGAAACCTTATTGGATTTTTCAACAGTTTTCCTTCATCTTTCTTCAACTTCAAGTTTGGTTTCATCGGAGTAGCTTTTTCCTTTGCCACCCCTATACCGAAACGTTCCAGCAAGTTCCCTGCATAAGCTCTTTGAGACACAAAGTACCCTTGACTTGTTTTCTCAACCTCCAAGCCAAGGAAGTAGTTTACTTCTCCCAGATTCTTCATATCAAACCGAAGAGACAGGTTATTTCTCAAGACAGAGATCTCAGTTTCATCACTTCCGGTAATTATCATGTCATCTACATACAATAGCACCAATAGTTGCATGTTTGAATCTGATTTAACAAACAGGCTCGAGTCTGCATCAAATACTTTGAAGCCACAAAAGGTGAGATATTGAGCAACCTTACCATACTAAGCTCGTGGAGCTCGTTTTAAACCATACAATGCTTTCTTCAATCGGTATATATACGTGGTTTGGAAGTTGTTTAGAGATGAACCCAAGTGATTGTCGCATGAAAACTTCTCTATCAAGTTCTCCATAAAGAAATGCGTTCTTTACATCTAATTGCCATAGCTTCCAGCCCTTAAACGCAGTGAGAGAGATGATGATTCTTATAGTTGCCATCTTTGCTACTGGACTAAATGTTTCCTTGTAGTCTAGCCCATAGCTTTGTGAAAAACCTCACGCCACCAAACGTGCTTTATACCTATCAATGGTCCCATCTGCCTTCTTCTTCAACCGGAATACCCACTTACAGGTGACAGGTTCACAACCTTCTGGTTTGGGCACCAACTCCCACGTCTCATTCTTGTTCAAGGCAGTTATCTCATCTTGCATAGCCTTCTCCCAATCTGGATTGCCTTTCGCTTCTTCATAGCATGTTGGTTCATTTGTGCTTTGCTCCCCCATAAAGAAGCAAGTAGTAACCAAGCAATTATTGATTTCATAATCATTCAAGTAGTGAGGCTGCCTCTTCTCTCTGTTTGAGCATCTCACAGTTTGCTCAACGGGTTCACCACTTCTGAGTGGTGCCTCCCTTTCTTCCTCCATGTCATCATTTGCTATTTTCTCATTTGTTTCAGGAAAGATAAATTCTGAACAGTCATCACCAAGAGCAACAGATTTGGGCACCAGAAAAGACGTTGAAACTTCATCAAACACAACATCTCTCGAAGTCATAGACTTCTTTGTCTTTGGATCCATGTACCTCTATCCTTTCCTGTAAGAGTCATAACCAACAAAAATACATTTTCTCGCCTTTAGGTCGAGCTTAGTTCGATTGCTTTTGGGGATATGGACATAACAGATAGTCCCGAACACTCTGAAATAATTTACATTCGGCTTTTCACCATATATAACTTCAAAGGGGAATTTTTGTGTGCCTGGCCAGGCTGGTAGCTTGTTTGTTACATGGCATGCACACTGAACTGCCTCTGCCTGTAACTCCCTTGGAAGATTCTTGTTGTGCAACCATGACAGACAAACTGACGTGAGATAGGCCAGTTTTCTTTCTGCGACCCCATTCTACTGAGGGGTATCTGGGCATGTCATTTGTCGACTAATGCCATTATCATCACAATATTTAAAGAAATCATCAGATATATATTCTCCACCATTGTCACTTCTAAGGCACTTTATTTTCTTTCCAAATTCCTTCTCTACTGCTTCCCTGAATTCTGCAAATTTGGATAGTGCCTTGCTTTTCTCCTTTAAGAATTTTACCCATGTGAATCTCGAGTGGTCATCCACTAGCACCATCACGTGCCGTTGTTTGCTGCAACTAGGTGTTCTTTTAAGGATATTTGCTGCAACAACTAATATCCTGAGCATCGGTTTGACGATCTTTTGTATGGGAGTCATTGTGTGAATCAAATCAAGCATTTCTAAGCATCGGTTTGACGATCTTTTGTATGGGAGTCGATGAGACTTACCATATTGACACCCCTGGCAGATCATGTCCTCACGGACATTTTTTAGGTCCGGCATCCCGTCTACCAGTCCTTTTAAGGATATTTGCTGCAACAACTAATATCCTACATGTCCTAGCCAAGTATGCCATATCGCGACGTTGTCAGTCTGACTGTCTTCTTCATGTAGGCCTCTCCTGCTGACATAACAAACAGAGAACCTTTCTTCTCTCCATAAAATAGAACATCAGCAGATATCTCTTTCAAATTATCAAGTATCTTTACATTTTTTGGTCTAAACAAGACATATTTTCCAGAATCAATAATACAACGAACTGACACTAAATTTTTAGTCAAACCTGGAACATGATAAAGGTCGTGCAATTTGTTGCTCGCATGATCGCTTATTTCAACTATTACTACTCCTTCTTTAGTCACGGGATGAGTTGAGTTATCAACAGTAACAATGACTCTGTCTCCATAGTGTTCATGTATCTCAGAGAACAGAATTTCATTTCCAATCACGTAATGAGAAGACCCTGAATCAACGATCCATTCTTCCTTCTTGTTGGACACATAGTTTGCAAAGCCTTGAGTTGACTTCTGGTTTATCGCTTCAACAGTAAAGCAGTGATCCCATTTGAGCTGATCATCTTCTTCATCGGTGTACACAACATTTGCCTTCGAGATCTTTACTCGACAATACTTCTTTATATGCCCAGTTTGACCACACCTAAAGCATGTGATGGGCTTCTTGATGTGAGGCTCTCCATCCTCCTCAGCACTTAAGTCCTCATCTTTATTCTTGCTACTAGACATGGCTTTTGCTTTCGGCTTACCTTTTGAAAATAGAACAGCATCAGTCTCTGCACTCTTCACCATCTGCTTAGCCAGTGCTTCTTGGTTTGAGAGCAAATTTTCCAGTTCTTCAACTGAAGTCACCTACCCTTGAATAGAGGTGACAAAGGGCCCATATTCTTTTCTCAAACCTCGTACAAGATAGCAATGCAGCCTTGCTTCACTGATTTTTTCATCCGTATCGATCTCTGAAATTTCAGCACACATACTTTTAACTCGTAGAAAATATTTTGAGATCGACATACCTTCCTGGGTTAGCCTAGACAACTCATTCTCTAGCAATTGCAGCCGTGCCATGTTCTTCTTAGTGAGCACCCTCTCAAGTGTCTGCCACACTTGGAGAAGCAACGTCACGAACATGCTCAATGTATTCTTTGCTGATGGACGTTCTCAAGGCATAAAGGGCCTTCCCACACATGATGTTCCACTTACGCCATGCCTCAGAATTCTTATGAACATCAGAAGGGATCGTATCAACTAGAGCAACCAGCTCCTACAAGTCCTGACCTTAAAGGTATGCTTTCATGCACATTCTCCAGTACTTGAAGTTGGTGCCCACTAGCTTCTCTATTCCGGGTTGACTGTTTCCTCCATTAGAGAGTTCCATCACAACAGATGAAAAACTTTTACTCACTTATACAAACCAGGCTCTGATGCCATAAAACAAAACGAGAAGAAAAATAAAAGCAAAGACAACAATGAACTTATCGAGAATGCTCTGCTTTATTTTTATCTGATATCAAACTGAATACAGCGGTGGCCTTTATGACAGTAAGCCATGAACATTATTCCTATGATCTCTCTATAATCCCGGAGATCTCGTCAGCACTCCCCTATTATTTAAAACAAGATAAATCAGCAAAATAATAGGAAACAGATTTATTTTGACTGAGTAAAAATAAGCGGAATAAATGAAATGAGGAAACAACAATATTCCAGAGATCTTGTATCAGCAACACGTTGGAATGATGGCCACGTGCTTCTCATGTACTGGAAGTTTGTACTAACTTTCAATAAAAGGGAGGAATTTTAATGGAGATAAAGCGAAGAGAAGGAAGATGAGGGATTTTAATATTATCTTGTTTGGATAGACGAGGAAAGAAACAAAGGGAGGGATTTTTTATTATCCAATAAAAGTACAACAGTTACCATCCATTCCCCATGTGATGTAAGATCAAAAGGATAACATGAGAATATTAAAAACTAATTATAGGCATATTAGTCAAAGAAAACTAAAATATTACTCTTTTCCTCCAAATCCCCTTAATTTGGGAGGGGAGGGTTATGAAGGGAGGGGAGGGAAAATTTCAAAAAGTTTTCTCTCTCCTCCTAAAAATTTTAACAACCCAAATAAGGGAAGGGAGGCAAAATCTCTCCTACCCCCTCCTCTCCTCTCCCTTCCTCTTCTCTCATATCAAACAAGCCCTAAGGCACTATCAATTATTAGACACTGAATATGAGTACATCCCCAATCCTCACAGGGATGTAAATTTTAATTCATCACATTATGAGCAGCTAGCTCTTTCTACTACTAGAATCAATCCCCATTGCTAGTTTATCTCCAATTCTTGTACGAAGCATTTGGACAAAATTTTGAATGTACAAAGTTGTTTGTCTTCATTGAAACATTTTAGTAATATATATTCTTGAAAAATATTAATTATGAAACGTCTAAGTCGGATCAGCTTTAAAAAAAACAAAAAGAAATATCTAAGTCGGCAAAAAAAAGAAAAAGAAATGTCTAAATTTGATAACAGTCCTAATTACTAATTAGTCCATTCATGCCAACAAAAATGAAGTTCCTAAAACTGAAACGAATCACAGAACAGTCCTAATCGCTAATTGATTGGTCCATCATATGATCAACAAAACTGAACACGTCAACTTAAGCTAATCAACCAAAGTCAAACAACGCATGAATGACACTTGTAGGAATTCCGAGGAGTTGTTGAACTTTAAATTTGACGTCGACATTGATTGAATTTTTTTTTTTCCCTTTCGGTTTCGGTAGAAGATTGGTTTTAAATGTTGATCAAGAATCTAGCTAAAAGAAAACAAAACTCAATTTCCAATCGTTTATTTTGATCAATGGAATTATATCAACATGTTGCAATATTCACCTGTATATTGGATTGCTAAAATACGAACTTAATTGATGAATCGATTAGTGTTGATTCCATTCCGTAAATACACCTAACACTGTTAAAATAAATATGCTTAATATAAACATCATTTTAGGACTTAGTTATCAAATCGTTTGACAAACAAATCACTAGCTAAATGATTAGACTATCAAAAATATATTGTTCACCGTTTTATTATTATTACTTTTATCTATTCTATGCATATTTAACTGAACATCTTCCCGCCATCAGAATATTTAAAGGGCCATCATTTATGATAATTAAGCTTTTTTAATAATTTGACAATTTGGCTTTTCTAATACATTACACCCAATGGACAATATTGTCGATAGAGAGAGCTAGAAACCAATTTTAGTTTGAAATTTTTTTTAAATCTGATAA